CTATTTATTTATTCGTGGTTTTTAGTATCGCCTGTTCACCGCCCTGAGTCCCGCAAGGGAGATAGGGCGGTATATAAATTTAATAAATAAATAAATAAATAAATAACTTTCTCAGGGATTATCTAGAATTCTGAACCACATAAATAATTTTCATTAATGTTCTGATACTTTATAATATTTCTGTAAGGGAACTCTAAGAATGGGCAGGCTGATATTCGCTTCTCAATGTAGGATTTGTTAAGAATACTTCTGGGCTGAGCACCGCATATGGATCTGGATTAGTCCTCCTGAGAAAACTTTGATTATATCTGCCCCAGTTTCACTTTTAATGCTGCTTGTAACATGTCAAATAAAGTGGCCCACTTGTCTTTTGTGAATCTTGTGTATGAACGATTCTCGTATCAGTTTTATTGCATGAACGGCCTGCTTCATGGACTAATTCATAACTGCAAGGGTTCTTTTATTCTTAGTCATGTGGCTTTAAGAACTGCCATATTTGTTTGGGCTATTTTGCCAGGTAATGCTTTTGCTTTGAAGGCAAGTTAGGTTTGACAAATAGAAGATTAGGGGTGCATATGTGTGGCTCCAAACAATTCCTGAGTCAAGGCATAAGCAGTTGATGGTAATCCCCTGGGCTGCAAATGCGGATCACTTGGATCCTGGGGGCAGGTGCCAGAGGCCTTGTGTGTGTGTGGGGGGGTGGTGGTGGTTCCCACCTTCCAAGGTTCAACTCAGAATCCAGAACTGTGGCAGATTGTCAAGTCACAGTGCAAGTTCGGCTTGGAAATTGACTTACCCTTCAAATCTTAGCTCTCTTTTTTAGTATTTTTTTTGGTACATTTCTATTTGTGTAACATTTATTCTTTAGGCAATAATGGGGCTTGGGGCACATTGGGGGGTGGTTGATAGATTAATAACAGATCCCTCCTCCTACTCCTCCCTCTTCATCTTTTAGCTAGAGTTGAGTACTTGTATTTTTATAGTATAGTATTTGTATTGTTTATAGATGTTGTCTAGCTTTATCTTTCAATATTATAAACCACCCAGATTTGCCCTGTGCTAAGATAGGTGGTCAGTCAGTCAGTCAATCAATCAATAATATATGTTATTGTTTATATAGTACTACTGTATATGATAAAAGTGGAATGAAAGCAAAATAAAAATAATAAAATAATGAATAAAAAACCCAAGTCTTGGTATGTTTAATGTCTGGGAAAATCAAAACTGGACTCTTATTATTTCACAGATGGAGGTCAAATCAAAATGCATTGTTGGCTTGTGGTTTAGGGGTGGTGCACATATATAAATTTACAATAAATGTTTCACATCTTTCTGCATCTTACATCCCAACAGTAACTCTGTCAATGTCTCCCACCACATTAAAAACCCAAAGCCCACTTTTTCAGAAAAGGACTTCTATACATTTAGAGGCATTTTGTAAATCAGTTATAGTTTTAAGGACATCAACAACTGCAACAATTGATAATTCTCAGCTCTGTAATTCTAAAATGAGTGAAAGGTAGCTGGAGCCAAAGCAGGGCTTGCTGGCGGAAGCTCTTCCACTGATGCTCAAACCAAAACATATATCCAAATAATGAGGGAGAGAGAGAGAGAAATGGGCAAATCCTTCTACCACCTGCTCCAGGGTGTGTTCTTCCACCCTCCCAAGAAAAGTTGCTCTGAGATGCTTCATCTCCTGGCTCAGTAGAGACAGCTAGAGGTGAATTGCTCTGCCATCGTTATCTGGTTGCATTAATGGATTCTCTTTTGTTAAGAGATGGAAGTTGCATCTCTCACAGTCTGTTTAATGCACCACCAGTATATGCCGCTGGATGAGGTGCACTAAAATAACGGACTGGGTGATGCCACTGAGTAGTAGATCTTGACATCTTTAGTTACTTTTTCTTACTGTACTTATTTTTTTCTTAACTTTCCTAGAATGGACAGAATTTTTGCATTCTGGATGAACAGAGGTTTGCTAAAGAATTGCTTCCTAAGTACTTCAAACACAACAATTTGTCTAGCTTCATACGACAGCTCAACATCTGTAAGTATCAGATTCTGCCTATTTTTGTTATTTTCAGCACCCAGTGTCCATTAAAATAAAAAAAAAACCGTATTTACCTAAACTGTCAAAAAATAAACATAACAATTATTTAAATATTTTACACCAAAACTGGGTTCATGTAAAAGGTATAATATCCACCTTCTGTACAATAGCTATAAAGCAGTATATGGGTTTTTAAAAGGTGCTTCCAAGCTGCATTTGGGGTATAAAGGAACAACTTCCTCTGAAAGGTTCATATTGCTGCTTCAAAAGAGGCCCCAGCAGGCCATGCTCATGTAGGCCATATACAGTTGTTTGCTGTGCTGGGAGGCAGCAGAAACACCATCTACATGTAGCTATATCAGCTCCATAACCATGTCCATACAATTAGGGATGGCCTTTGAAGTAGCCGCAGGAGCCTTGTAGAGGATGGGCCTTTCTTACAGTAACTGGAGAAAGCCATCTTTGGTTTAGGGTTTGATGTTATCAATGAAGTGTGCTGCTCACACTCAGCTTTCCACCCTACTGCAGAATTGGATACACTGGAAGTCCTGGAGGCTATGAAGGACTGGTTGGGGTGGAGCAAACTTGGAGTTTCCTTTGGTTAAGGAGCAGGTTTGCAATCTGGAGGTTGTCTTGGACTTGGGTTTCTAATTAGAGCAGGGGTCCCCAACCCTCAGTCCGTGGACTGGCACTGAGCCACGGCATGTCAGCAACCGGGCCGTGCAAACAAGCAAAGCTCCATTGGTGGGATGCAAGCAGCATGCGAAACCATGTCCCCTTTGGTCCGCAGAAAAATCTCTCCACGGAACCAGTTCCTGGTGCCCAAAAGGTCCGGAGCTGCTGAATTAGAGGGATAAGTGGAAGCTATGGGCAGGCTTGGCTGGCATGCCAGCTACCTCCTTCCCTTCCTTGGTCAGGAGAAATTGAGGACAGTGACTCAAGATAACAATTCACACCTTGAAAAGACATAGTAACCATACTGCAATTTGTTGAAGTTGCCTGAAAACACCCTAGAAGCTGAAGTTGCCACAGTGTGTAGCTACTCCTCTGTTACTACTAGCTGCTTTAGCAGACTATCACTTGCCAGGAGGCCTCTGGACTCAGTCCATGGTGCTGTTGGTTATCAAATCCCAAATAACTGAGGCCCTTGGCTGTGTGGGAGTGTCCCTTCATGGGAGAAGTATCAGCGGAGGTCCTATCCTTTCACCATTCAGGAGTGGGGTGAAAATAGTTCTCCTCTGGGCGGATTTTGGAGCTGGGAGTTACAGCAATCTGTCTTGATGTTGGAATAGGCTATTGCTTGTTCACTTTAGCATGTTTCCAAAAGTTTTAAGTAAGTAGTTTTGCATTTTTGTAAGTACATTTTTTTCTCCCTGTAATTTAATGAGGCAATGAAATAACAGGGTTAGGAATAAAAATTGCAATGTTTGAAGTGAAATTTTCTTCAACACAAAGCAAGTTTTTTTTTCAGAAATACAGATTTAAACTAAGAGGATTTGTATATTCCAGTTCTTGGTTCTTTTTTCCAAGAATAAGTTACATTTTGAATGATTTTCTAATAACAAACAGTGCTGAATTAAAATTCATTGAAAAAAGTTGCATTATATTAAAGAAGTGATATGATAGCATGATTGGTTAAATAAGGAATTATGAAATTATGCTGTCATATGGAACTACAGGTAGCCTTGAGTTATGACCTACAATTAAGCCCAAACTTTATGTTGCTAAGTGAAACATTTGTTAAGAGAGTTTGCCCCATTTTATGACTTTTCTTGCCACAGTTGTTAAGTTGAATCATTACATTTGTTAAGTTAGTAACACCTAGTTAAGTGAATCTGGATTCCCCACTGACTTTGCTTGTCAGAAGGTCGTAAAAAGGGATCATGACTGCAGGACACTGCAATCATCATAAATATGAGTCAGTTGCCAAGTGTTTGAATTTTGATCATGTGACCATGAGGATGCTGCAATGATCGTGTGTGAAAAATTGTCATGTTGCTTATTACTCTTCAGTAACACCTTCTGATTGTTCTGTAGAGGTAGATAACTTTAAAACTTTCTATGCCTATTAAAAAACCCTCCCCAAGTGATTTCAGAAAGACTTGCCAGTTTGAAGGTTCTCAAGCTTTAAAAAGCAGCAAAAAACAAACAAACCCTGAAGTGATTAAGAGGTGAGCCTTTGTTGAACTTAGAGTCCATGTAAGTAATGATAGCAGCTATAAGCACATTGAAATCCCACAACTTCCAGTCAGTCACAAAAACACAGTTCCTATTGTCTGCTCACACAAAAAAACTTTCTGGGAATACAGATGGGTAATCTTGCAATCTCTTTTTACTCTGGAGAGATTTTGACAGCCCATTTGAATGCCATTTTCAGCCACAATGTGTCCCTCAATTCTAGAAGGAATTCCACCATCATGGCTCCCTTGGAAGCCTCAACAACCTTAGCTGAAAAGAGAAAGTTGAAGCTAGATTGAAAATTGTCAAATATAAACATAGCAAAAGGTCTTTTTAAAATCAGATGGTATTACACCTTCCTCAAAGAAACATTGTTGAACCCAGAGGAGCCAAGAGGGGCATAAAAACTAAGTGGCATCGCTTGAGTCTCAAACCCAGCTCATAGCCAGACAAAAAGCAATGGGGGGTATGGGTTGGAATTCAAGGGAGGGGGTAATGGAATCGAAGAGCACCGACTCTGTAGTGAGACATACCAGCCTTCCAAGATCACCTGCTGGGAAAGTTCACCAGAGTCTGTTGCCCAAACAAGCTGAACATAATTGATTGGATGGAGTAAAGTGACAATGGGAGGGCCGGGGAAAAAGAGGGGAGTTTCTAATTATGTTGTTTGTGTGTGAAACCATTAGAATTGGCTTCTCTACTTCTGGTATACATATCTGCACAGTAAATTATATTCTTGGAAACAAAGAATGGCCCAGGAGTCTTTGTTTGCTGCATGCACTGAGTGGGGTGGTTGATACTAAATAACATAGCTAATTCTGCAAGCATCTGATTTAGTCCTTTCAGTTTCAAACACTCAAAAGAATCCCAGGCTGTCTTGTAAGAATTACCCATCTTCCTTCCCTTGACTTTGCCCTGCTGGTATCCAGATTCTGTTCTTCCATTGCTCTATTATCACACTGAACTCTTCCCTTTGAAGAAGGAAGAAAGGAAATGGGTTTTATCATAGCAGAATATGACCACTGTAACTCTTCTTTTGAGTGGGGAGTTTGCACCTAACTAAAGGAAAAGGAGAGTCTAAATGAAAGTGGGCTTCTCAGAGACACAAACACATTTAATTTCTCCCGATATTGTTACAGATGGCTTCAGAAAAGTGATTGCACTTGAAAATGGCATGATAACCTGTGACAAGAATCCTGCCACTGAATTTCAGCATCCGTTTTTCAAGAGAGGGAAGGTCAATTTACTGGCAAACATCAAAAGGAAGGTACTGTTTCCTAGTGTGCTGCTTGGTTAAAATTTCTCTGTTCAATGCAATCACATATTACCTGCTCCACTTTCTGTTTAAAGCATTATGAGCAAACTGGATTGGACCTTGGCTGATCTCCCTTCCCCCCCTAGAAAAGCCCACCCCCAAAACTTAAACAGGGCTGAATCTCTTTAGTACTTGGATGGGAGACAATTCCTAACACCCCCCCCCCCACATTGTAGGATTGTAGAGTAGAATGCGAAGTTGAAAAGATAATGTAGAAGAAAGCCAAGGCAACCCGCTTGCCTATGAGTGGGTTCATGAAGTCTCCAGAGTTGAGCTTGTCTTGAGGAGGGACTCTTGGCTTTGATGTTTTTCATCCACGCTAATGGGTTTTTTTGTAATATATTTTATTGATTTTTTAAAAACATAAATCACTTAATAATTGGTGAACAGTGTGTGGTCTGGGTTACATTTGTAAAACAATCACTAGCAATTGATTTCTATAATCCATAATCCACATAATAGTTTTAGTTGATTTCCTCTTTTCCCAAAATATCCTCTTTTGCAAACATTGAATTAATACAATTCTTATTGTTTTGATAGATAACAATAAAATATATAATTTTTCCAATATTCCTAAAAATAATAATCACATCAATATAATATTTCTTTTCTATCCAATCATTCTGGTTGTCTTTTTTTTTTTTTTTT